TTTTTTTTCAATATCGCACAGCCCTAACTGACACATTTTTTTATTATCTTTTTATAATATTATTATTAAAATAATATTTCAGTCGACTAAGCCTCTAGTCGACTAACGGCAGCCCTAATGCCTATATATTTTATATTCTCGTTTTCTGTGTAAGCACCTTAACAGAATTCTACCAAAGACTGTAAATGCAATCACAAGTGGGATTGATTAATATGTAGATTAAAAAAAAATCAAAAATAAAAGTTTTTGTTTACAAAATATATCTGTGTGTACCGTGTATATTTATTATGTATATATAAATACACAAACATACATGTATATATTTAAAATATATATATATATATATATATATATTAATATGTTATATATTAACAAAACATTTTTCTTAAATATATACATGCATGTGACAGCACTAAAATAAATACTTTTATTCATCAATGATGCATTAAATTGATCAAATATTGTGTTTATAAAAGATTTCTATTTCAAATAAATGCTGTTCTTTTGACCTTTCTAATCATCAAAGAATCTGAAAAATAAAATGTATCACTGTTTCCACAAAAATATGAAGTGGAACAACTGTTTTCAACATTGCTAAAAATCTTAAATGTTTCTTGAGCAGCAAATCAGCATATTAGAATGATTTCTGAAGGATCATGTGACACTGAAGACTGGAGTAATGATGCTGAAAATTCAGCTTTGATCACAGGAATACATTTTAAATAATAATAATATTTCATAATAGTAGTTTTTACTATATTTATCAAAAAATGCAGCCTTGGTGAGCGAAAGATACCACTTTCAAAAATATGAAAAAACCTTTTGAACAGTAGTGTAGATAAGCTGTTAAGAGGCTCTTTCACCATCTTATACCTGATTCTCATCTGATTTGTAATGTTCAATCAGCTGAATGTGCTGTGTTAACTAGATTAAACGGCATTAAACACATTCATCTCATCAGTTAGCGGGTCAACACTTGCAGTTTTCATCCTCACCAGTATGCCGGTGAACTCGTTGACAGTGTATGTAGCGTTGGGCTGGCGGATGGGCAGAGCGCGGTTATCTTTGAACCAGGTGTAGACAGCGGGCGGGATGCTGTGCTGGTCCCTACAACGCAGCTCCACCTGAGAGCCTGTCACAGCAGAGCTGGGCACGTCACACAACGGTGTTTGTGGAGGCACTGAAAGCGCATGAAACACATCAGACACACGAGTAGAACACACAGAGCATCAGAGAGCAGGACAGACGTGTGTTACCCAGCACTCTCAGTGTGACGTTGGTCTCTCCCAGCGTGATGGAGTCCAGTGGAGCGCTGACCTCACAGCGGTACTTGCCCGCGTCGACCTGAGTCACTCTGCGCAGCCGCACTGTTGCCCCTTTAATCTCCGCACGATCATGAAATGGCCCTGAACAACACAGAAGACATTTGCACATCCCTAAATGATAATAACTGCTTCACCAGATCCAGTGGTAGACAGCAACTAAGTATTTTTACTACATGACTGTACCCAAGCACATTTTTCAAGTATCTGAAACCTTTACTTCACTACATTCCAAAGCATGATATCATAAATTTTACTCCGCTACATTTCATAAAAAAACATGTCGTTCCTCGTTATTTTGAACTGGAGAAATCGTCACTCACTCATGGATGCGATAGCAGTGTCCAGTTTGTGAATCGGTTCACAAATCAGTCTGAATGATTCATTCACAAATTGAACTGAGCAGATTGACATTGAGTCACAACTCACTGATTCAAATGATCCGGTCAAATAAGTCTCCAGTTAAGAATTTATTGAAAAGTCTGACTGAAAATGAGCCAGGAGCGGGCGGGAGATCCTCAGAGCTTAAGTGCGACAGCTTGATGGCGTGAACAGTAAGTTACTAATGCCGATTTGTTTGTTTTTTAGTTTATTTTTGTAAATGAAAATCATATTTAGGTCACAACTGTCAGTTGTTTGAGAATTAAATGGGCTGTAAAAGGGTAAGCTGTTTAAGCCTACTGTATGAAATGCCTGAATGTGGACATGCCTGAACGGTTTAGGTTTTATTTAACAACTAAACATAACATCAATATGTTTGCATAGCATTGCATAGACTCATAGTGTATTAAAATGTTAACACATTTTGCCCTATGTGACATCTGATTTTATGTTGTATGTTTATATTTGTCAGCACATTTTGTTTTTACTTTTTCATTCGTATATACTAGGCTATGTGTAATAGTGTGTTGCAGCACAAGACGCACAATGCAGGACAATTCAACAAACTAACAGTCTTTAATAATAAATCTGACAGGAACACTCAGGAGGAAACATGACAAACAACTGAAATGTACAAACAATACCAGACAAGGAACTGACTAAAACTGAGGGCTTAAATAGACGGATGATTAACTGAATCAGAACAGGTGAGAACTAATGAGGGAAAATGGGAACAAAGGAAACTGGGTCAAACTAAACAAGGAATACAGAACTAAACTAAAACAGAAAATAGCCCTGACAATATTGTATATTTTATTTATTTTCACTTGTTTGCACACTTGAGTTATGATTAATTATCAGTAGTAATTATCAGTTGCTAAATAAATATTTATCGATCAGTACTTACATTTTTTACTTTTAAAGGTGGTGGTTCATTGCGATTTCACTTTTTTAACATTCGTTAGTGTGCAATGTTGCTGTTTGAGCATAAACCATATCTGCAAAGTTAGGAAGCTGAAAGTTCAATGCAAACGGAGATATCGTCTTTTAAAATTCTGGCAGTTTAATGCCTACAAAAACGGCTGGTAGGGACTACAACAAGTTACTTCCCGGGTTCGTGACATCACAAACCCAGATAAACCCCGCTCTCGGGAAAAGGCAGCAAAGGGGGCGAGGCCATGCTGCACTGCTTTAGAGAAGAGGAAGAGAAAACTAGAGGTGCACGTAAAAATCTATTCATATATGAATCGCGATTCTGTCTTCTAACGATTCTAATGGATTCACAAGTTTCAAAATCAAGTAAATAAATCAAGTACTTTTGCATTTATACTCAAGCAAAATGTAAAAAGAGCACTTAACACTTTATTACTGCAGACATATTTTATTAGGGTATCTGTACTTTTACTCAAGTACTTGATTTGTGTACTGCGTTCACCACTGCCCAGAACCAAACGTGATGTTTGTACAGAAAGTGAGCTGTTGGACTGACATTCATGTCAAGCATGGACACAAACAGATTTGTCTCTTTAACCTCAAGCAGCCATTTATATTGTGTCACACAGAATCTGTGCATTTCCTGTTCTGATAATGAGGGGAAATCTGCAGAACTGATTTAAACACAAAAAGAGTCTGATCTGCTACTCACTGACAGTGTTGGGAGTAACGCATTACAAAAGTAATAATATTACAGTAGTATATTACTTTTTTCTGTAATGCAGTAATATAACGCATTACTACTAAAATTTGGGTAATATTATTACTTGTTACAATCTCAGAAACGCAAGTTACAACAACATATTTGAACTCAAAATTAAGTGGTGAATTTACCAATACCGCAAAACAGCACCAGAGAAAAAATTTCGCGGGTAAAATAGTTAGGTGTGATAGGAGTGGGTCTATTTCCTGTTGCTGGAATTAAATGGTTGAGATGACTGCGGAGATGGATTCTACATTTGTGACACAGACACACTCCTGTTATTTTCAGTTCATCTGAGAAAAGGATGAAACTGCATATATTCAGGTGCAATGTGCGCGACACTAAACTCTCAACATGGAGAAATAGCACGAGTAAAACCTGGAAACACCTGGACTGGTGCCACTAACACCAAGTTATCGGAGAGAGCTGCGGGGTCGGAGAAGAGAAAAAAAGGCAGCGGACGAGTGCAGAGAAGCAACAAAAATTAAGTTTAACAAAATAAAATCTGTTTTTATTCAATCATAGTGTATACAGTGGGGCAAAAAAGTATTTAGTCAGCCACCAATTGTGCAAGTTCTCCCACTTAAAAAGATGAGATAGGCCTGTAATTTTCATCATAGGTATACCTCAACTATGAGAGACAAAATGAGAAAAAAAAATCCAGAAAATCACATTGTAGGTCCATTTTCTTCACGAATTTAAATGTAGGCATTTTTATAACCTGATGCTGCGCAATTTTGTTGCATCTTGAAACTCATTGATTTTTATTGTGAATGACAACATATAGACCGTTCCAAGATGGCGGACGTGTCGACGTGTCTGGAGCGGTCGAATGTGGAATCTACCTATACATGTCTATAGTTTACTAGGGTGCTTTCATACCTAGCCTGTTGTTTCGGAACCTGGCACGTTTCCCCCCTTAGCTCGGTTCGTTTGGGCATATGTGAACACGGCAATCACGCTCGGATCCGTGCCAAAACAATCGGTCAGGCGATCTCGGCTCGATTGAAAACGAACTCTGGAGCGGTTCGGTTGTAGTGAGAAAGCAATCCGATCCAACGGACCCATGAACCAGGCTATATCACAATGTATAATGGGTAATTGTAAGTTCCGTGAAAAGCATTAGCTTTGTTGTTTTGCTAATACCTCAAAATGAACCTGTGAATGTCTGTGGGTGAGCACGTCTTTGCCTTTCAAAAATCAAAGTGCACTTTTTTTATTTTAAAATGCCGTCTTATTGCTCTTCTTTGTAGTAGGTGCATTTTAAAAATGTTTTCCCAAACAATCCTGGACTCCTGCTCAAAATGATAAATTATTATAATGACAAAAAATAAACAAGCCCGCGAAGCTGTTATCGTTCCATCCTGACGGATGACATGTGTGATAAGCTAAGTGGAATCCCGGAAAATAAACAAACATATTAAATATATCAAATATATTAACAAATTTGGTCGGTTTAGAAACTTTGCTGTGTGAAAGCGAACCGCACCAAGAATAAA